AGACAGGTTTCTGCGGCTGCGAATACAGTAATTTGTTGTCAGAGACAACGCACGTAAAAGCCGATTCGCCATCAGAATGAAAGCTGGGAAGCACGGTCTGTGTGGAACCGCTCGCTGTAGATAACCTGCGAAACAGTCGCTCTACGGCGTGAGGAGCCCGGCTTCCCTGGTGCTGAGTCCCGCAGAAAGGGCTCTGGCGACAGGACCAGCAGTGGCCAGCAGCAGGTGCCGTGGGGAGCGCATGCGAGCCCGTCAGGCAGCCGGCCCTCGGGCCTTCGGTGGTTTGTGCCTCAGGGCCTTCCCGTCCGGAGCTGCTGCTGCATTTCATAGTGTAATTTTAATCTGTAAGCAAGGGCGGTTGCCTTCAGAGCACGTGTAAACACGGTGTGTCCGTGATGTCCTGCAGAGGAGAGTCCAAAATACCAGCAGTGGCTTATGTGAAGTTCCCCCGTGGTTTTGGACTTGCCACCTGCTTCAGGTTCTTGCAGTGCAGCGGCAAGACAAGAGGTGCTCCCTGCTCACCTGCCCCATCAGGCGAGGCTGCACGGACCTGTTTGTCGTACTCCGTACTCGTGCTGATCAAAACACGCGAAGGGGAGAAAGTGTCATGTGGTGATGAAACGTCATTATTGCCAAAAATGGAAGAGGGACCTGCAAGATACGTTTCTTATGAAGAAGAAATATAAATTAATATATGAAAGGGTTTTTTTCTAACATGGAAAAATTGGGGGAATGATTATAGAGTGAAAACACTATTTTACATATCCTTCACAATAGTTTTCAGTTAAATGGGTTAATCTCTGTTGTGCAGTTCTAGTTACATATGTGTGGGAGGGAGGAATTAGCACTGAACTTCAAGAAGCAAATCTTCCCTTCTGTATTAAAATTATTTGTGCAACCTTTTCAGGATGAGCTACAAGAAGCAATTTCTGCGCATGCAGCAAGAGAGCAAACAGCTGAATACTCAGACGACTTTGACAGTGATGAAGATGGCACGTTAAACAGTAAGACACAATTCAGTATTTTTCCTCATGTTCTTCCCTTTCTTAACTCATTACAAGATCACAGACAATCTTTGTGAGTCAGTGTGATTTAATGTTCCAAGGTCTTGTATTTTAATAACTTCTAAATCACTTAGTCCTTCTCTTCCAAGTTAGGAGCAGGATTCCTAGTGAAATCAGTGGTGGTGACAGCCTGCTAGACCAGATGCAGCCTGTGCTGAATGGCTCTTCTTCCTTATATGGTGCTGCATGTTAAGGGAAATACAAATCTAAAATATCATAAGGTATTTTTAAAAGGACTTACTCTGTGTCCTGTTTTTTATTGTTTGAAACATCTTTTAAAAGTTCATGGGATGCTTTAATTTCCCTTTGCTGACAAGATTTAGAAAAAAGCTCCTTCTGTATTAAATGTTACTCAACTATCATGACATTCTTTTGTCACCTTCCTCAAGCATTTGAACTCTGAAATAAAGCAAGTTAGAAACAACAGGCTATAGGAAGATAAATATATTTTTGTTAAGCATGTGACCCCTAGCATTGGAGCAGATGCCTCTTTTGAGTATCTTCTAGTATATTTCAAATGGGACAGAAGTGAAGAGAATAGAAGGAGAGGATGGATTCTGGTAACCAAACTTGCCTAAGTTTGTTGTTGTCTTGCTTCCAGTTTTTAAGACACTGGACACAATAGTTTTTTTAGAAAGGATTTAAATTGCATGACAGGAAGAATTAACCAGTGAATATCTGAAGTATGTTCTTCATACTGGGTCCACGGAAACAAATGACAGGAAAGGAAGAATAGGGACCTAGTTTGGTGACTTTGCAGAGATCAAAGGTGCAGAAAGAGAAGTGCTCGGAGACTTAAGTCAATAGAGTGTTGTATGAAAAATATTTCTAAAGTATCAAAGATACAGTTTCTGTGTCTCATTTTTTCCCACTTGTCTCAAATGATGCTGATGATGTGCTATTTTCAGGTATTGGGGAAGAACATAATGAAAATAATTCAGGTGCTGAAAGCACTGAGAAATCAGTTGCTGTTGAGAGTCCTCTCTCAGATGATGATGCTTCACAAAACCCAGCAGATTTGGAAAATGAAGCAGCTGATGACTTGACTTTATCCTTTCATGAAAAGAAGCTTCAGCAGAAGCTTTTAGAAAGTGAAAACATACAAGATGACAGAAAAGATGGTGAAGAAGAAGGTTTGGAAAGTCAAAGTGAGAGTGATGACAGAAAAAATAATGAAAAGTCTTCAGCTGCTCAAGAAGTACCATGTGATAATAGTGAAAGCGACCACTGTAATGATTTGCCTGTTCATGAACTACATAAAAAAAGAGATCAAGAGGAAAACAAACCAATACCAAAGCCACGGGTGCACAAGGCAAGAAGTGCTTCAGCATCAGGTGAAAAGAAAGCGTTTGAATGTTGTTGCTGCTACTTGCTTAGCCATATTACAGTATTTTGAAGTGTTGTAATTTGGGTTATTTTCTGTGTTAAGTATCAGGTGCTTTGGCTTGTAGGGAATTTATTCAATATTCTTTTGAAAATACATGTTTTCTATTTTTACGTGTTTTGTAACCTCCAGCTGCCAGGGGGTAAACTGAACCAGTGTGGGGCAGGTAGCTTGGTGTTTCTATCTGCCTTTTCCTTTCAGGAGATGAAAAATAGCTGTTTGGGTACTTAGAAGTCCAGCTCTCCATCAATGCATGTCCGTGGAAGGTGTGGGAGGGCTACAGAGTTGCCTCCTCTGTATGTGCATAGCACGGAAAGCCATATTCACACAATGTCCACAGCATCCAGGCACCCTTTAATGGAAAGGTCCTTAAACAGGCTTCCCTTCTCTAGGACCAGTGAAGTTGGACCACAGTGTTTGTAAACATAATGTTGAAGTCCTGATGCTGAGACATTATGATGCTGTAATGTAACAAAATGTCAGAAAATGAGCTATAAGCAAAACATTTATGAATGGCAGACTTCTCATCATCACAGAGTTAAAATTTCAAATGATCTTTTACTTTGAAGATACTGAGCCACTTTGGATATATAGTCAAACACGTAAAAAAACCCCAAACTTCAGTGTTTCATTATAAGAATAGCTAATTCGTTTTTAATATGCAAAGCAGAACTTGGAATTCTGCTAATTGACTGTATTTGCTTTTACAAATGTAAAATGTCAAAAGACTTCATATTTTTTATCTACTTCCTAATATGAGAAGCCTTTGTCCTGTTTGATGTGGAGAGGAATTTATGGCTGGTCATTACCTGTGATGGAAGATTACAACTTTGAAATTGGCAGAGCATGATTCGTGATGTGAGCTCCTTTTCTTTCCACAGGATGGCACCAAAGTGCTAGATATTTGAACATGCAGCTGGGCACTGGAGATGCCTCTCTTGCATGGCCAGTATGCCTGTGTAGTTTTAGACTGTCAGAAAAAAAGTTGAAGTACTCCTTTTCTTCATGTGAATCTAAGTAGTACAGTGATGCTAGCCTTTTGTCTTCAGTGGTCAACCATTGTAAATGTTCTTATATTAGATAAATTTATCTCTGTCCAACAGAGGAGGTGATTACCCAGAAATTGGTCAGCTTTTTCTTCTCCTTTGATTTTTCTTGCGATTTACTGCGTGGAAGAACTGTAGGAATATTGTTGTGACCTCTTCACTCTCTAAACTTCACACTAATTGTATGATGAGACTTTACGCAGCCAGGTGTGCTGGATGGGCATGGTCACCCTGCTCAAACTTGAATCTGTTCCTTTCCATTCCTGGGATGCCCCTGTGACCAAATTTCTCAATACCCGGGATGATTTTCAGTTAAAGGAGCGATTTAAATACTAGCACAGCTTTCTTAACACAGTGAGGCCACATACAAACAGCTATATAAAGAGTTACAGACACTTTTTCAGAAAGTTTAATGAAAGTTTTAAAGCTTCTAATATAATCTCTACATAGTCCATCTATTTATCATTATCTTTGTATATATTGAAACTACACTTAAGGGCTGATTTGCAATTGGAGAGACAGAGTTTTCATAAATATAGGAGAGAGCATATGTCTAATATAGCGCTGCTGTAAGAAAACCTTTTTACTATTCTGTTTGTCTGGTTATCTACCAGCGAAGAAACAAAGGGAAGGCTGCTGCTTTCTGCACAGTGCAGAACAGAACAATCCTGGGTAGGAGGAGACATCATGAGAAATGCAGCCAAAGAGGAGGGCTTTCAGTGTATTTGTAGTTTCTTCAGTGATGTCTCTGCTCCCTCCCTAAGGCAGTCACTGGGCAGCAGAACCACCATGCAACCCTTTCTTGCAGATTTCTATCCTCTGGCTCCCCACCTTCCTCCTGTTTAGCAATAAAACTTGTCTTCATGGTTTCTTCCCCCTGCCCTGCCACCAACAAGACCAAGCCACGCAATGGTGCTTATCTAATTCTGCACATTGCCATGGAAGCATTTCTTATTAAGTCCTAGTCCATGCAAATCTGTCACAGGAAATGGCATGGAGTAGGAGAAGGCAAAGGAGGTCCCTGCAGCCCATGGAGCAGACACCCATGTGTCGGCCATGGAGGACTCCACACTGGAGCAGAAATGCCAAGCCCAAGGGCAAGTGTGACTGAATTGAGACCCCAAGAGTCACTCGATACCAGAGCCGGGGTGGACCCCCAGAGCAGGGCTGAGGAGATGCGCTGGCCCAGAGGCCTGTCCTCAGCCTGTGGATGTCCCCATGGTGGAGCTGGGTCCTGAGCCCAAAGAGGTCTGTGACTCCCTGGGAAGCTCGTGTTGGAAGATGTTGTGCCTGGACTTCCATACCGGGAAGAGTGACAGAAGTGAACTGACTGCAACCCCCCTTCCCTGTCCCCTGTGCTGCTGGCAGGGAGAAGGTGTAAAAATCAGGAGCAAAGTGATTTGAGCCCAGGAAGAAGGGAGGGGTGGGGGAAGGTGTCTTAAGATGTGGTTGTTATGTCTCATTGTGCTACTTGGATGGTTGGTAACAACTTACATTGATTTTTCTTCCCCAAGCCGAATCTGTTTTGCCCGTGACCATAACTGGTGAGGGAGCTGTCCCTGTCCTCATCCTAATCCCGTGTCCCCTTTGTTGTGATTCCCTTCCCATCTCACTGGGTGGGGGGAGTGAGTGCAGGACTGCATGGTCTACCTGTGGGTTAAACTACCACAGAAGTATACAGACAATGCATTATATTATATCAAATTTGGTAATACGATTCATAAACAGATGTTTTCAGTACAGAAATAACAATACTTGGAAACACTTACTTTCTTATTAATGTGTCCTCTCAATCTTTTTTTTCCCATTAGATCAAGATCAGAAGATCAGCACCAGTGACTTGAAACTGGAGGACAATAGTAGAAAATCCCCTTCTGTGACAGAAGAAGTGATGACCACAGTATGTGAGAAAACAAAGAAATTAGAGAAGTCAACAGATGACAGTTCAGGTGAAATGGTGAAAATAGTGGAGGGGCAAATAGTAACTGATACAATATGGGAGGTGTCAGTGAATGATGAGTCGGAGCATGGGGAGGCAAAGTACACTTTGAAGGACTCTCTCAAGGTATTATTTTTGCGTGTTTTCACCATTGTTTAGAACAATGTCCTAGAAGCACAGTGAAAAGTTTTGTAAGGTTACTGCTGGTACTTTAAATATTTACTAACTCTGTTAGTAAAGCTGACAATTTATCTCTGACTTCCAAAGCTGAGGCTCTTACAAATTCTGTATAGTTTCATGGAAGATGTAGAGAATTTGCACAAATCATTTCAACCAGATAAAGGTATTAAAATGTGCATTTTCCAGTGTTAAGGAAATACCCTTACCCAAGTTAAAATGTCAGGTCTTTGTTGTGAGGTTAGCTGAATTGGAATGAGCAGTGTATGTTGGCAGAGGATGGAATCCATGGTGTGACTTGAATAATGGATAAGTTGCAAAGCATTTTATACTTTATCATAAGACAGAAAATGTGTAGCTATATGTAATTGTTAAAGCTAAATATTAAAAACAGTTAAAAGAGCATTGTTATAATAACAGGGAAGCCCACTGCCCAGCTGGCTTCTTTTTATTCCTTTGTATTTCTAAACTATAGACTATATTTTTACATAATACAAAGAAACATTTCTGGGTGCCATTCCAAAAAAATACAGGCATTCTGAAAGTTTGCTTTTTTGATTTGTACTTTTTTTGGTTACTCTCCTGTATCCTTTCTGTATTAGAGTGTCTTTCTTGCATATTCTATCATAGAATCATAGAATATCTTGACGTGGAAGGGGCCCATATGGATCATCGAGTACAACTCCCAACATCCTCGTTAGCTTGTAAAAGTCTGTTTTATCCTGATCTAGTTCTGTTGCTTGAGAGAGTCTGTAATTTTACTTTTTGTCTGTATTTCTTAGAAACTAAGTGAAACAAAGGAGAGAATTCTACAAACCCCAAAAGCTTCTTTATCTGACAGGTAAGAGAAAGATGCTATGTATCACAGTCTGTAGAGTGTAAGATGCATATAAGTGTCCTGACAATGCTGCTTCACTCTCATTTTCTGTCAGCATTATTTTCACTGCTGACAACCTCTGACCATCTGTGGAAAACAATGTAGTAGATGTGGCATGTTATTATGACCCTTGCTCAGCGTTATATCAGATCAGACTCCAAGTCTTTTGCCAGTGTCTGTCATGGGAGTACACTGTTGGATCCACCAATTAATCCAGTCCATGTTGTCTAGAGGTTTTAAGCTGTTTTGCACATGAAAGTGTAAGGAGCTTTCTTGAGCTGGATATGTTGAGTAGTGACTTGTTTTGTCACTCCTCCTTTCCTTTCCGCCTATCTCCAGCCAAGTGCATGTAAAGACAGAATCACAGTAACTTTTGGTATACACTGAGATAAAAGGAACACTGCTTGGTATCAGCTACAATAACTGGAAAGATCATTAATGCACCTGTGTCTTAATGTTTTTACAGGTCTCTCTCTTCTGTGCACTTAAAGAAAAAGACGAAAACTGTTCCATCAGCTACACCTATTTCTTCTCCCAATCTGGGAACATTAAAGGATAAACGCGTGCAGAACAGTACAGAATTTGACAAAGCAGATAGTTTACGAGCTGCTGTTTTCCAGGTAGATCTTAAAAACCAAACAAATAAACCCCCCCCAAAACAACCAACAAACAAAACTATGCATTTAAAGGTCCTGTTATAGCGGTCAACACCTCTTATTTTCTTGTAATCAGTATTTCTGAATATATTCCTTGCATATGCTTACAGGTATAATAGTAATCCTTTTATTCTGTTGGCTTGCCTTTTCATCAAATTATGAACTAAAAAACTAGATGAGAGGGACATGCCATGGTTCATAATTTATTGTGTCAGACTATTTTCAGACACATATAATATTTCCTTTTATTTCTACTTCTTCCTTAACATAAGTAAGTGTGTCATTTAAAGTTTCTTTTTCTGATATGTTCTATTCAGTTGACATTCAGAAAAAGTGAAAACAAGTCTAGTATTGTCTCCAGAAGCATAATCTATGTGGATTCTGTGTATCATTTCATAACAATTAGTTTGTATGTTCCAGTAGATTTTGCTACTAATCCATGTGAGGAAAACTTTCATTAACAGATGCTGTTCATATTGGTATGTGTTTTTAATACTTGTTATGGTTCTAGAACAAAGTTTAGGACCTCAAATCCATATTTATATTGTCTCCATATTTTTTAAAGGTAAAATTGACTTCATTTAGGACACTTGTATCTCTAAACATACTACCAAATATATAGTTAAACCCTGAAAATTTAAGCCTGATTCTGCAAATGGCTCATAACACTTTATGGATGCCTCAAGTCACACACTTCCTAGTTGGATTTTGTTCTCTTTAATTATAGGTATTTGCAAGAAAGACAGTAAATGTAAATAATATTCCTGTATACTAAGTGATAAGGATCTTTATTCCATTCTTCTTTTTCAATTTTTTTAATGCTTAGATTTTTTAATGGTTTTTGAAGCATTTTTTTTAAAGATCCATAAGCTTTTTCGTATTTTGTAGCTATAATTTTAGAACCTTAGACTTTTTTGATCACAATGTTTGTGTGATCACAGCTTAGTCTTCCGCATGGGGTAGTTATTTAAGTAGCACATGGACGAATTAAGGTAATTTTGGTGTTCATTATATTGGTGCTGCTCTAATAATATTTGGTTGTTTTAACAGCACTTTTTTAGTTATACCTTAAAAAGACTTTAAAAGTGTAAAAGTCTTCTGATGATTCTTACAGAATTGGTTGGAAAAGAAAAGGGTCTTTCTACTGGAATTAAAGAGAACTGAAAAGAAGAAAGCTGAAAATCTAAGGAACGATACTGAAAAGGTTTGTTTACATTCTTGATTAAAAAGAAGTTGACAAACTATAATTCTTTGAAATATGCTTATCTGTGCTTTCTGCTTAATTACATCACTCCGCTATTCTATGGCATCTGGTTCTCTTTAAATAGCATGATGTGAGTTGAAACAGTGAATGGCATATCCCACTTGTTATGGCTGCTGTAAACAATGTGTGGCTGATGTTTCACTAGACGTTTAAGTAAGGTATATTAAAAGTGTGCTGCTTAGGCTAATTTTCAGGCTTGTTTACAAAGACCTCAGTATGCTCAACCCTTCAGGTGTTAAGTTTTAATTTTTCATCTGTTAGAAAATTAGTTTACTTCCTCTCTCAAGAAGTGCTTTTCTACAGTAGACTATATTTTGAATAGTACTATACACAATTCTTAGATTGGCTTCTAAGTAGGTAATGTGTTTCACTTCTAAGCATTTAACATGTATTTCATATTCTTCTACACATATTTTGCAGGAGTAGTTTGTCTCATTTGACTAAATTAAGTTAAAAATGAGCATACAAAAAACCCGCTCTATATAGTTCAAATTTAATTTTGAGTATTGGAATGTTGTCTGCAAATCAATTTCCATTTCTTTCAATCTAGAAAGAAGCTGTTAAAAGAGAGGAAGCAATTGCATCTTTTGAAGCCTGGAAAAAAAAGAAAGAAAGAGAAGCAAAGAAGTTAAAGGAAAAAAAGAATCTTGAGGAACTTAAGAAAAAGAAAGCAGCAGAACAGAATGAGGAGAAAACAGAAGCAGCACAGAAGGTGATGTGAAATATGTACACAAATGTGTATTGGACATCGTTCAAGAGATTGTTGAGAATAATTTTGATTAATCCAGCAAGAGGTGAAAAACAACTAGTTTCTAAACATGATTAATTTTTGAAGAAAGCTCATATTAGATTCTATTCTGTTGGAAGTACATAATTTTTACATTTGCACAAAAACCAGGCATTTTTCGATATTTAGATTCTATTAACTGAACATAAAATAAACTCGATATAAATACATGGGCAATTAACTATTACTTACTGGGAAAAATGATTTATTCTTTTTAGATGTAGCCATACCCACTTCTGAGCAATGCTACAAAGAATATTCCAGAATTTGAATGTGTAAAAATTGCAAAAAATAATAATATAGAATAAGCAGGTGGAGTATTGACAAAAAGATGAGGGATAAGATTTCTAGTGAATCTGTGGTTTTCTTTAGGCATACGAAAAATGGAAAGAAAGAAAAGCGGAATATTTAAGAGAGCAAAGCAGAAAGCAAAAACAGTCTGAAAGAATCAGGAAGAAGAAAGAAGAGGAACTGGTTGCAGAAAAGAAGAGAGACAGCAAGTCAGCAGTTGAAAAATGGTACTATTCCACTGGAGTTTTGGAATATCATTGTTTCCCAAATCTTTGCTTGTAAATTTAATAGGTCTTCTGTGAGTGCTTGATGTGCACTTTGATGTGCACAACTGAGAGACAATGGCACGCTTGGGATCAGGCTCTTGAGTCCCAATGGAGAGCAAGTATAGCGACAAGAACAAGCTATAGAGGTTCTTTCAGTTTAGTAGCTTAGATGCTTTCCTCCCCAAAAGGCTACTGAGTAAGCCCAGGCAAAGGTAGTGCAACTGAGAAGTCAGATTCATTAAGCAGTATGATGTCTTACATGATTAGTCTCATGCTTTATTACTAAGCCATAGAAAGGAAGGTAAATCTTTATCTTAAAGTTTGTGGAATACAATGTATGAATGTAAATTTATTCAGAAGCAAATGAGATGTGTCTGCTGGAAAAATTCTTTGTTAATTTTACCAGCCAGGAGTTTCACAGACCGTGTGCAAGTTACTATTACCCACAGAAGTTTTGAATGTTAATTTTTATATGGTACCAAAATAAGGGAGAAATTAGTATAGAAAAGGTGATTTCATAGTAGATAGAATAGTAGGTTCATTTATACCTTGGTGATATAATATATAAATATGCACTTTGAAAATTTTAAATACATATTCTCGATCCTTTATTAAATGCATGAATTATCTCTTTTGGCTCAGTTTAGTTAATCAGTCACACATACAGCATTTAGTCTGTTACATTATGATCTCCTATTCTTCATTCTCACTATACAGGAATGAAAAAAAGGAAGAATATGTAAAACAGAAGAAAGCAGAAAAAATCCTAGAGAGAAGAAAGCAAGAAATACAACAAGCAGAGAAGGAAGAAAAAAATAAGAAGGCTATGGAGGAATATGAAAGATGGCTGGTATTTTTTTTCTGCATTTTGTCAGAACTAAAAAGGTTAATGTAGTAATGAGTGTGAACACTTTTGTATTGTAATACTCATGGTTTTTCATGCTGTTATGAGAGAGGCCAGATGATGGCAGCATTACATAGCTAGTCCCTCAAAATTCTTGAGCAAAATAAGAAAATGTGGTGGGCTTGGTATTTAGCTTACATGGAAAATATATTCTCCCTATCTACATGTCAGAGTTTTGAATTTTGTAGTTAGTCTTCATTTTTTGACATTCCATGTCAGGAGCAACCATCTCTGAAGGGCCAGCTCACCACAGCACAACACCTGCAAAGCCAAGCAGCATCACCAGCTGCAACAGAGAGTGCATTGTATTCAAGAAAGCATTTAAAGTGGAGACTTGTATACCTTAAAATTGATAAAAGCACTTGTAATGAGGCTTGAGATTATTTCCATTTACTAGAAAAGGTGGAACTCTGATGCTCCCAGTTATATTTTTCCTACAACAGTGTACTTTAGTCACAGTTGTTAAGCAGTAAACTAATCTAGTACTCTACTCTTTCATCATACTGACTTTCAATATTTTCTTAGTTTGAGAGTGTTTTTTCTGTTGTCTCTCTTCCTTCTGATTTCCAGCATGCATCCTGAACATATGATCCCTGTTGCCATTTATAAGAATGGGATCTTGCAACTCAGCTGGCTTAAGGTCCTTACAGGGATTCATTTGTACTGTCAGTAGCTTAAAAAAGAACTTTTCCAGAGTCTCAAGTGGTCTTTCTGGGTTGTTTAGGTTTTTTTGTTTTGGTTTGGTTTTTTTGGAGGACAGGGGTGGGGTGGATAGATGAGATCTAAGGCAGGGAGATGTATGGGTGTGGGACAGATTTTGAAAGGACAATCATCCTTTACTTGGCTAACTCAGAAATAATGCAGTTATGTAAAACAGCAGGAGCCTGCATGTTTTCCCTTTTCTCTATTTCCAAACCTTTTTAGTCTTAGATTTAAGTCTTTTAAGATCTGCTTTGACCTAGTCTCCTGTTGGAATACCTCTGATTTCTGTAATCATTGGTAAGAAGTGTTTTCTCTGCTCCCCTTCGTGAAGTGATTTCCAGCTCAGTTTTGTCAAATTATTAATGTCCAGTCTTAGCTTATTGCTTGCTTAGTCAATCTTCCTGGTTCCCAAGGAAGAAAGTATAGCTAACTGTCTGTCCCGCTATGCTCCATTTACTGAGACTGTCCTCAATTACCATAGTTGTACCAAAGCATGAATGTTACCTCCCTTGTTTCACTTCCTTGCTATCTTGGACTCAGTTTGAAGGTAAAAAAATTAGCCCTTTTTTTGGAAATGAAATATGCTGTGCCTAGCACAGGCTCACCTGTTCCAACTGTGTGTAAATTCCTGAGGTCATCATTTCGCTTCAGTGGGATTATTAACATAAATTTTAGCAGCTGGAGGAAGGACCAGATCTAAACGGATATACATGTGCCTACATGAGAGGAGCAGCTGAAAAAATAGGCAGGTGTTGGAGGATGTGATAGGTACTTGGCAGAGGTACTTCTGAAATGATTTAATTTGCAATGTCTGTGTGCAAATGCTGACTGATGTGTCTCATGCCCAGTCTTCGCCTTTTTACTTTCTGAAATAGCATTGCTTTTTGCAGCTAACTTACCTTTATATGAGAAAGCATATCGGGCAGTGGCTCTGCCATTGTGTTTGGCCAGAACATTATCCTGCTTTTAATAGTAATAGAGAAAATAGACACCTTCAGTGAACTGCAGGAGAGAAATGCCTGTGAAGTTGTCGATGTATTATCAAGGGAACTAAGATGTTATCTGCGTATAGGTAAATAAACAGGCATCAAGTCTGAGAGAGCAGAATTGTGGAAATCTTTTAAGTGTATTATTTCAAATAAGAGGATTTTTGTTTGAAGGGAAGTAATAAGAGTAGTATAGTGGGAAGTATTCTAATATGTTTTCATTAACATTCAACAGAAATAAATGTGCAAATTCATCCTCATCTTTCCTGAAACAGGTGTTGACCATACTGCATGGGGAAAACAGACATAAAAATCTCCTGGTAATTCTTCTAAAATAGAAGAAACAATCTGCTTTTATGTTAATGGAAATTCTGTTACTTATATTTGAGAGGTCATTGTGTGAATGTTTGATAACATAAGTGCATAGAGAAGATTACATGAAAATAAATGCCCTGAAAAAGGCTATTAACACTTGTAAAATGCTAACATAAAAAGGATAATCTTGAGCTGAGATACTTTAGAATTGCTCAGGAAATTTAAGCTTCTGATTTTTTTGGTTTTTTTCATAGTATTTGCCTCTTGCTACTCTTCGAGCCATTCTAGATGCTATGCTTGATAAATGATTGGTTTTTATTTAATACATACTACCAGTGTCTGACACTTGTCATTGACATGCATCTATTCTGTTGACTAGAACATGGAAAAGAATCATGAAGTTTATAACAACATATCCGTTTAATTTACATTATTTTTGAGATAGGAATCTTGATACCTGTTTTCTGTAGATAAAAGCAAGTATCCTAGATGTGTTATGTTCTCCATTTTATGTGCTAAACATTAACCTAGTATGACTTGATGAGAAGTAAGGCTGCTGTCAAATAATTCTCAGAGATCAACACAGTAAGGTTAACTGCCCTAGAAGAAGTTTGAAATTTTACCTTGAAGTTGAGCATGCTCAACACCTATTTCTGTCATTCTAAAGCTGTTTAAAAACATCAGGAGATGATGTACTGGATGAGTCTCATGGATTTGTTGCTTTTCTGGATTAGAAACAGCTGACGTGGTTTATTCATTTCATGTGGTTTAATAAGATATATCTGAAAATACTTTCTATATTGGAATTTTAATCTCCTGGCTTTGCAATATGTTAGAAATGAGGCTGTTATTGTTATTCCTCTTAAATGTTGTAAAGCTTTGGTACCATCTAAAATTCAGTTATTATGTGGCAGTCATATGCTCAAGAATGTGATCTTCCCAGAATTTTGTACATGAAAAGTGTACTCATCGTACTAGGCTACTGAGAGGGAAACTTCCACAAAGAAATCAAGCCATACAGTTGAGTTGATCTAGTCTGTGACAAGCTACAGTTACTGTCTTAATCTTTTGTATTTCTGTTACTCTTCTCCAATTTGTGCAAATAACATCTTTTTTATTATTTTAGGGAAGATTTATATCAGTTATGTCTTGTGAGAATGTGAACTGTGGTTAGCAGTAGAACATAAAAAGCTTTGTGTGTGTTGAAGGCAGGGAAGAAGCCAGTAAGTCTTCATGACAAATACAATCTTTTAAAAAACAGTTAAATTAACTCAAGACTCTTTCCTTGGTACTGGGATCCATTCATGAAAACTGGATCTTCAAACCCAAACATTCAAAACTGAGACATGATTTAAAAATCCAAAGCAACTTTTAATTCTCTTCATGGATGGGTGTTTGCTTTATCTTTGGTTTGAGTTTTTCATACATGAGTCTGTTGTGCAACATGTATTCAGTGAAGGCTGCTTTATAAACATAAAATATGCACATTTCTTTGTAACTTGTGATTTCTCAAATAATTACCAATGCTGTTACATTTTTAATGAGTTTTCAATTACCTGTCCTGGTGTGTCTTTGAATGTCAAATACAGATTCAGATTCTGAGACTTGTAGAATATGATTAAATTTTTCTAAAAATAAATTGGCTGGATATGTGCAAATACTCCAGAACAGGAACAGGAGTCATGGGTGTGTTCCATTTCAGAGCACATTCTTCCCAAGCTCGTCTGTACTGCTTGCACGTATCTTGTAATCTTTTTTGAAAAATATCACTGATAATGCAGACTCCTTTCCCCTTAGGGTACTAATGAGTTCCCTTTAAGAGTTCCTGTTTTGAACTTGTTCTAAAGACCCAAAGCCACCAGTTGTGTTCATACGAGGAAGATCTCTACAGAAGTAGAAAGAAGGCTGACAGAGAAGGGTCAGAATCTTACAGTGCTACACCCCCACTTTGTCTCAATTACTCCATATAATCCAGAAAAATACAGTTTGTATAGAGAGATAATATTTTTTATTAGACTCTGTTGAACTTTTGTATCACTTGTTTTAGTAAAGGGCATTACTTCTCCATGTAAACCTTGCCTTGCTTTTAATCAGCTTTACTAGTAACAACATTAAATAATTGTGTGTTTATTTAGCCAGACCAGACATTCCTGACTGAATTGGATCTTCATATTTATGTTGACAAAAACCTAAAGGGCAGAGATTAAAATCATATTGATACAGTTGATGTTTCAGTGCATAATAGGCCTTTTAAAGTTTTTGTTCATATCACATGGGTGGCTAGCATTAGTACAGTTTGGCTGCTGCATACGTGCAAAACCAGAGAAAGCTTCCACTCAAGCTCCCCTTTTTACAGTAACACTTCTACCCCCATTTACCAGTCTTCTGTCTCAGCCACAGTCACCTCGCTGTTTCTCACTTGCAAGTAACAGGCAAACACTGCTAGGAACTTGGGAGTTTGTGGATACACAGTGTCCCTCATGGGTTGCCAGTGCAGTGCAGTTCATACATGTTAAAATAGGAAACTTCTGTGGTGCTTCAAAATACTGGCTGATAGGCTGCAAAAGAGGGAAGGACCTTGGTTGGATTTGGCACAACTGATGATGGTTTTAAGCCAACGTGGTGATACCCACGTTGCATCGTTACTACCAATGATGTGTATGCCAGTTGTTGGTCCTAGGAATTAATGCACTGTTCATGTGCCAGAAAGGCAGCTGCTCAAGGACCTTTTATCCACCTGTCAAGTGACACACTGTACGTGATGCTCTGGTCCATAATGTCAACCTTGGTTCCACCAAGAGGAAAACAAGGTCCGTAAGTGGTTTGCTCAACCATGCACCACATGCAGAGAAAATTGGCACCTATAAAGGACCCTCCAGTGTACTCAATTGCTAATGCACATGCAGCCTTAGATGCTGGTCCTCGCAGTGGTGAAATGGCAGTCATCTTTGCAAAGAATGCTTATTTTATATGGAAAAGAACAATATAAAAATTCAAAAATAATTATAAATAATTTCAAATTATTTTTTGAATGACAGATTTCTTGAAGATCATTAGTTAATCAGGCACAAAAAGAATATTGCAAGTATCTTGCTTATCCTTCGTCATCCTAATTGCTCATTGCTGTTTGAAACAATAGAAAATATCATCAGAACCTTGCAGTTTTTATATTATGTTAGATGGATATTTGTTTATAATTAAATTGTTTAATTCCCAGTTTATTCTAGTACATGGCAAGTGTAATTTAATAAGTACAGAAAGTTATAAAGATTCATCAATATTCTCATGTAATGAGAACAACATATTTAGCATTGAGATTTCGATATCCTCTTAAAGAAAAGAAGTAATTAAGATGAGACTAATTATACACAAGACAAATACAGTACCTAATCCACTAGGCCTTCTGCTGGGCTTTTTCTTTAGATAATGCACAAAACCAGCCCATCCTTGAGACAGTCACCTTAGTCATAAATTACGTAAATGTGCAGCCTTGTGCGTTGCCTTGTGCCATGTGTGTGACTGAATCCCTAAAAGGGATTCACTAAGCTCCAAAAGGCAAATCTCCATTGCCTGCTAACTTTTCATTTTACACAAGAAAGATATAACAATAATTGTTACTTTTCTGTTGGTGTTGGGTGGAGTTTGGGTTTTGGCTGTTTTGTTTTGGTTTTTTTTTTTGACACATCTTTTTATTCTTAGGAGAAGAAAGAGAGGAGAGAACAGCTTGTGAAGAGGCAAAAGAAATTGCAGGCTGTCCATGGGGATGAAGCACCTTCTCCCTGGAGTCCACCTGGCAAAGTCACATATTCAAGGAATTACTGAGCAATCTATTTCCTTCTGTGAGGAAAGATGATCTACAAAGTTCTGACAATGGCTAGTCATTATTTCAAAAGCTGATTTTCACTGAATCCATCAGAGATTATGCATCCTTTCTTTTTGATTTATTTCATCTCTGCAGTTTAAATAGTTCAGTTGTCCCTTTCCATTGCTTTAGAAAATGTACTAAGTTTTAATTCCACATTTAACTTAATTTTGCTAAATCTTGTGTTACTTTGTTCCCTTTTTTTAAAAAAAAAGTCTGGAAGAAATGCTTTGTGAAGGAGTGGGAAGGATGATGGGCAAGGAGATGTTGGCTCTCCTGTGGTGACAGAAAGACAAAAGGCTAAACAGTATGGTAGAGGGATGTCATTCATGAAGAGACAACCTACAGAGAACATAATATAATTCTTAGATTATGTTACGTTATGAAATAATAAAAATAGCTTTTAAATTAAACCTACATCAAGGAGAAACAGGATTCCATTGGGCCAAATCCAGTCAGCCATGTGATGATGCAAAAGAATTAAACTGGAATCCATATAAGGTAAAATGATCCTGGACTAAGTAAGACTGTAGCTGTTAATTCCATTTCAGATCTTCATTTATATTCCATAGATTTCCTGCTTCCTACAGGAAACAGCAGTTTTGGAGGCATGTTTTGCAGTTTACACAAAAATGTACATAAAAACTGCAAGGGCAGAACAGTGGTACTCTTATGAGGCAACCTTAGACACTGAAATTTTTTTTTTTTTTTTGGAACTTAATTTAAAGGCTTCTGTGGTTGTTTTTACATCAAGTAAATCTTTCCCAAACATGTTTTCATCATTGCTAATGAGCTAGTTGCTGTAGTAGATTATTAAAATTTCTTCTGGTTTTGTGGCTATTTGCCTCACTATTTTGGAAACAATGACAAGACTATGTGTCTTTAGAGACCTTCAGATCTCTTGTTTGTCTACTGTCTAAACTCAAGCTGTTCCTTACAATGGTATTTTATTTGAATTTTAATAATCACTCCAGATCAGATTTTCTCCTCAGATGTGTGTTCTTAAAAAAAAAAAAAAAAATTAAAAAAATCTCACTAACCAAGAAGTAAAAAACCCTAGTCTTTAAATTATAGATATATTTTCTCAAATGAGAATATCGCTCCTGTTTAGACTGACAGCCTCCTTGGGGAGTCAAAGGAGCATTTGAGAAGAAGGCTTGCCTTTTTCACTCGAGTCCTGTGCTGTTCATCAATCACTGAGATACTCATTAATTCTGCATTTCATGTAACACTGGGGCATCTCCTCAGAAAAGAAAAATCACAAGACCAGCAACCAGATGAATTTCTGTAGTTTCTTGATGTTTCTTGCTTGTTTTTTTATGTTTTAATGTGAGCCACTGAGGATTAAAAGGTGTTTGTTTTGGCCATAACTGTTTCTATTGACAAAATGCTCTACAGGTGAATTTTTTTGCTGGTATGTATGTAGAAGTAGAATCAGAAGAATATTTATTCTGTCTCATTGTTGAATATGGTTCTGTTCATTACTGTTAGTATGAACTCTAGTTCTGTGAATTCCTAATTCACACCTTTTGCAAAGTTTATGACAGCCAGAAGCAGGTGCCAGAAAGCAAAAAGGGAAGATATATTTGTTAGAACAGTAGGTAGTGCTGTAGTTACCATCATTAACCTAATTTCTAACAGTAAGTGTAGAGGAAGGCTTGTACGATGTATGGTATTTCTGTTGCATATGATCTATTGACAGTGTCAAGAAGTATTTGCTAATCTTAAGAATAATGGAGAGGTTTCACTAGTAGTTGTGCTGGATTTGTGTACAGCCAAATCATCTGACAGATCAGATTTGATCCATTGTGAGTAGCAGTTGCAGATTTGATACAGCTTCTCGACTATGAAGTATTTTTATTGCAGGATCAGGTTTGAGGATATTACCTGGTATTTTACATTGCATGTCTCAACTTCCAGTTGCCTTTCATGCACCTCGTTGCCTGTTGTGTACTGGGATTTTTGAGCATGTCTCTGCTGGTTCTGCCTCTTAATTTAAGTTCTGTTTCTTCCTCAAAAGACAATTGCACAGGACCTGTCATTCTTTTATTTGTTTCTAGCCTTCTGTCACTGGGCTGCTCACTGAGAAATGTTGTTGCTGGAACAGTTTTTTATCCAATGAAGAGTCTGCAGAGAAGCTAGGGACCTTTATGACACCCATCGTTTTCATTATATACAGTCTGCAGGTAAGGCACATTTGATGTCTTCCAGTGGACCTTAATGACAATAGTGACCTTTTTGCCCCTTCTGTGAGACTCAGATTTGTGCCAAGAGTCATCATTCAAATGCTGAAATTCTGGATAGGGCAGCATTCATATGGATTCATGCTAAACTCATCTTTTTTCATTTGAGAAGATATTGGTCAAGAAGGGGAGAGAGCAGGAGAGAGGCTGGAGCTTTCAGAAGCACCCTGCGGCTTGCAGTCTGCTCATGTGGAGCCCCTGGAGTCTGGCTGTGTTCCTAGGCCATTTGTGGGGTTTTTTGTAGGCTCTCTTTATAGTAGTACCCACATTGAGCTTCCTGCACTCCAATGTTGCAGTGTGTTGTGTTACCACAGAAGTTCCCCGTTAGGGAATCCTTTTTTCTTGCAGAGATCCAGCAAATCCAGATTTTTGTCCAGCTTAAGCCAAGCTGTAGCACAGATATTGCAGAAAAATGATTACAGGGCTTTCATAAATTCTGAGTCTGGCTCTGGCTGTTACCTCATGGCAGGTCAGGCATTTTTTCCAGCAGTAGTGGTATCACAACAACAACATTGACATCCAAAGACAAAGAATCCACTGCCGACAGAAACTTGAAAAGATGTCCAGCCAGAGGAGCTTCAGTGGGCAGCCTGAGAGTTAGGGTAAAATTACAGGTACCAGCAGGAGACATAGCAGAATTACAGCACAGGCAGAATGCAACAGGACTGCCAGCACAAAATTGACCCACTCAAATTTTATGGAAAAAATATTGAATGAGTTCAGGCATTTAGAATGGAGTGGTGATGTACATCGTTGGTACTCCAGGCTTCTAGCACTTGGAAACTTCAATTCAGGTCTCGTGTGTTAAGAAACTATAGCTGTAACATCATGGAAAGACAAAATGCGTAGCAAACAGCAGAGTTTGCTGTACAGCTGTGTCCTGATTTTTAGCTGAGGCAGAGCTGGGTTTCTTCTTAGCAGCTAGAATAGCATTGTGTTTTGGTTTCAGCCTGGGATTTGTAATGAGAAAAACATTGGTAACAGACCATTATTTTCATTTGTCACTGGAAGTTGAAGGACTTTGTGTTTTGGTAGTCTACAAGTGCAAGATCTGGGGGGTGGTGATGAAAATTTAAATTAATAAGCTAGATTGGCATTTGGATATGCCAATAGGATACTCCATATTATATAACGCCATGTTCAGTATATTAATGAGGGTCTCTCCGTCTCTTGCTCTCTCTGGCTTTCACTGGGTCTCACTCTTCTGGGATTGTGGTTTCGGGATTGTCACTCCTCTGGGATCGTTATCCAAGAATGGGCTGGGCTTGGTTGGCAGGAGGTGAGCAGTTGCACTGTGTGTAACTAATTTGCATGTTTATTACTATTATTATCATTATTATTTTAATATAATTATTAATTTATTTTCTATTTTAAATTATTAAATTGTTCTTATCTCAGCCTACAAGTCTCCTTACTCTTGCCCCCCAGTTCTTTCCCTTATCCCCTGGGGGTGGGGTGGAAGTGGGTGAACGGCTGTGTTGGCTGCTGGCCACGGGCTAGCCCAGTGAAACTCTCACATAGTGGTAGTGATCTGCTTTGGACAACACATGCTGTCCACATATGCAAGCAGGGCAGACTGACAGGAGGGGATC